CTATTCCGTTTAATGTTGGTGTACTTTGTCTACTGTTTGTATAGTTGTTAAACTGATAGTTATATAGTTACTGTGAGATCTTTACTCTTTTACCGTGTTTTGTTTTTATTGTTTACTTATGGAATTAGGATCTACGGGAAAGAGTTTTGATTGTATTTGCAGATACCTTATTTAGATAAAGCCGACTCGTAAAAATTAAGCAAATCGGTGAATTTTCAAATTCATGCGCAGACTGCGCACGTACTTGCGTACGTACGTACGTATGTAGTCCCCTTATTTAGAGGTCGGGCAAATTTTAAGTATAATTTAATTGATTCTAAGATTAGGGTACGCTTCGTTAGGATAATGATCGTAGAGATTTTATATTGTCTATTATTTTATATTTTCGCTGCCTCAACACTCTTTACAATCGCTGCCTCGACACTTTTTACTGATGTCCCAAAAGTTCAGATTACGTACGTACGACGTACGTACCGTCTTTTTTATTTGATTGGTCGATAATTATTCCACTTTAGTTTATCCTTAATTTAGATTTGATACCCGCATGTGGATTTCTTACTCAGGATTCTATTTAAACTGAAAATGGGTGATTATTTTTAAATCAAGACCAAAATGTTAATATAAAATTGGCCCGGGTTCAAAAATAATAAAAATTTGGTTTATTGGAACTTTTTATCCTATTACTTATGATTAGAGTGTTCAGGATACTGCTGCTCTAACTAAAAATTCTGTCGCAATTAGCGTCAAATGAGCAAATTCTGCGGTGACGTATAAATGATACTTTAAAAAATTACAACAAAAGAAAATCCTAATTTGAATCACACAATAGATTATATTCACTTTATTCTGCACAAATTCTGCGCAGATTCTGCAACCACAGTACACTCTACTTATGATACGTATTTGAAATTTATAATAGAAAACTCGTTTGCGCAGTAGTATAGCCACCGGAGAATTTTTTCCACGGTTTTCTATATAAGAGCATCCATTTCATTCTGCTCTCAAAATCGTACTTGAAAATGTCAAATAACGCTCTTATTGAAAAAACAGAAGATTCATCCATGTCAACTTTAGTCGTCGATAAAGATGACTGGAAGTGGCCATGCTTTGATGAATGGTATGATGAACATTATGATAAAATGGAACGTAGGGTAAAAGTTGAAAGTATCAACATCATTCCCTTCGTTGTCATATATCCACGTAATGGTAAACCATACGTTGAAGTGAGTTCCCCGAAATTGATGAAAATCTTGCGAGATATCCTTCCAAATAAAAATACATTTGACGAAGTTGACGATGATAACCCCAAAGTATCAGTAAAATCTTAAGAGTTATTTCATGTAATGGAAAAATTAAAAGATACTATTAGTAAGTAGTTGGATCTTGACCTTGTTGAAATTGTGATAATTTATAATTACATCGAATAAAATAAATGTGTATTTAATCATTTATTAGAAAACACGACTGATCTGGAGAGCATTGTCAACTTAAAACGTCTGGTTCGGTTTCTTGAACAAGAATTTAAGCAAACTATAAAAGCTCGTGAAGTAATGATTGCGCATAAAAAAGTTTCGTATGATATGTTATGGGTGTTCTATACTGAAAAATTGGAAGTGTGGTAGTAAGTATTAAGTAA